ATAATATAATACCTGCATTAAAACAATTTTGCTGAAAATTAGAAAAAAAATATTTTCCGCCCCCCTTCCCCATTCTCAATACTAAAATGAAAATAGGTATGTAGTACTAAGGCCCTTCCTACAGTATTTCTTTGTTAAATATTAAAGGAAACAAAGATCGTACACAAAGAAATAGAGAGAGGTTCTGTTTCACGATATATTTTTTTAAGATTTCACCTCCTATGGGGTGAAAACCCGAAAAGACCGCTTTTTCATTGTTATATATATTGTGCTCTACAGTATAAAATATCAAAAAATTCAACTTCTTAACTTGATTGATTTTACTGTTTAAACGTTAATTACTTTCGATCACGTTTTCGCCAATTTGGAACACTGTGCTGCGTGGAAGAAAACGTAAGAATTTCCCACTGATTTCAATTCCAACGCCAACTTTTATAACAGCTTTTGTAAAGATTTTTCGATGTTCAGACTTCACAGTTTTGATAATATAAATCCATCAGAAATTACTACAGCTATACTCTGTGTAAACCAGACCAACAACCCCTATAATCCGCGGCAAATAAAAATTGATTTAAATAGAAACTGTTCTAAAACCAAACACAATAGTTGTAGGTTATGTTTGGCGTGGCACAAAAAAATGTTGTAGGTAAGGGAGGAAATTTTAAATTAAAGTTAAGTTGTTTTACGTCTACTGTGCGAAGAGACAAAAATCATTTATTTCGAATTTTGACACACTACAGGGTGAAATCGAAAGTGAGTTTTCCTTTAATATAGCATTTATCTATCATGAAATGATACAGTATCGAAACAAAATGATACTTATAAGGAAAGTGAAACTTGTAAAAAAACTTATCCACTTCGACATTTAAAAATCGTATAGTCCGGTCCTATTAGAGGTTCCGTTTTGCGTAGCGAGCGAACTGGTTCTGCGGCGACCTGATAACTTCCCGTACATTAACAAGATATCAACAAATTCTTTGTTCGCATAACAGTGCCATTTCTGTTTAACAACTATCACTAATTTATGCTAACAGTTATGTTTCAAGACGATATCTGTACCACTGCCACAGCTAATTCCACAATTTTTAACACCACTTGGACACGTTTTCTTTTACACAACTTTAACAAGTTTCGACCCGGTCTCTTCGATATGAATTGCAAACTAAACCAACCAGCTGAACTGGAGACTTGGGCGCTGTAACAACAGCTGTAACCCCGGACCTATGACAATATGCTTTATGCGGATCGTAAGTTTCCAGGACCGGCTTTTAAATACAATACTTTTAAATGCAAATATCTCGGTTATTAAGACATATTTACTAGGGTATTTTTTGCACAATAATTTATTTTAATGTGTACAATCACTTGGTAAAAGGAAAAACCCACTTTCAATTTCAGGCTGTATACTACTGAAGGTATATTTAACCGTCACATAAATCTATTAGTATCCTTTGGTTTGACTAAGGTGTATGACCCCATTTAAAATTACAATTTATTAAAATTTGTTACCCAAAAAATGTTTGTATAGTACCTAACAAACGGCAGCCATTTATCTTGGGCGTGTACCTATAAAATTTTACTTTCTTAAAGAACTCTCTCCTCCAATGGGCTATGACTTTCTTTCCTCTGTACATTTATCGAAAATTATTAACTTTATTAAATTGAGAAATAAAGCAACAAGTTACTTATGGGAAAAGACTATGAAAAAATTGGACCTGAGCATTTACAAAATGTCAAGTGCCACACTCGCTACGAATTGATGGATACAATCAAAAAAATTCACTAGAACTTTAATGCAAAATTGTTTTACCTACTCTTCCGGCATATCTTGTAAAAAATAGTGTAAAACAATATCCAACTGAATCTTTACAGTACCGTTCACAAAAATATATCTAGACAGCCCTTGTTAAACTAATAAAATACGACCACCGACTATCCTCAATGGATGCTTAACTCCGACATATATGCCTTCGGGTACACCTGAATTGGCGGGCGGATGTCGCACTTCCAACGTCCGTTTTAAATTCAATTTAGCGCGGCCAATATTATGTAGGTACCGGTAACCGGCTCCAGTTCCCTTTCCGTTTTAATTTACAATTTTATAACAGAAGAATATACAGAAGAATATTCACGGAGGAAATATAAGGAAATCAGAGAAAAGAAATTTGAGAAAATCTTAAAGAAATCACAGAAAATATTTAAAGATTTCCTCGTAAATGTACACCATATTTCCTTCGTGGTTTACCCCTCGTTAAATACAGAGGGAGGTTAACTACTAACGCAGTTTTTTTAAATAGATTAGGCTTACTTTTTACTCAATTAACGCTTAATCAGCTGTTAAATTTAACTGTGAGGCTTGATTAAACGTGAAATAACTCACAAGGCTAATGACCAATGTAGTCGATGCCAATGACACCAACAAAGAAAAAAAACTGTGGGACCTCACTTTCTAAATACCGAAAAATCTTAAACTACCTTATAGTGCGGGAGCCCACGACCAAAATTTTGGGGTAATCCAGTAATCACATACCTGTTTTGAATATCTATACATATAAAATGCTTTTCCTGAATGACTGACTGACGGATCAACGCACAGCCTAAACCGCTGATCATAGAGACCTGAATCTGGGGGGGGGTGTTCTTTGTATGACGTAGGCATCCAATAAGAAAGGATTTTCCGAAATTCTACCCCTAAGGGGGTGAAAGGGGGGCAACTGTACCGCGAGCGGAGCTGCGGGCAACAGCTAGTAGTTTATATAAGGCAAGAGTAAGCGAACTTACACGGAGTAGAAGCTGGGGACGTTGCTTAAAGAGTTAGATGCATTTTCAGTCCGTAAAAAGGGAGGTATTTTTTTTTAACATCCCGTCAGTTCTAGATGGATTCGTATTAAAAATATTTACCAATCCATCAAGAACTGACATTTTGAATGTTGCAAATAGCTGATAATGGCTTCATAATTTATTAAAAAAAGGGGGTGGATGTGTTATCGCCGCACCGTTAAAATCTGGTCTCAAGTAATGAATAAAAATCGAAACTGACATTATTGAAGTTGCACGGCTTGGAAAAAATAAAATGGAGTCGCCGCCGATACATTTTAAAGATTATAAAGTGTTAAAAAAATCGCGTTATACCGTCCATCAAAAGTGAGCATGTCAAAAATTGTCAGTTAAAATTTTTTGGGGTAGAGGACATTAAATCGTAGCAGATAATCACATAAACTGATGGTAACTATTAAGCAACAACTAGGATTTTGTTGTATAAGACTTTTTTGGGTGGGGTGGTAGAAATTAGTGAGACGATATAACATCCAAATATACGCCATTTTATTATAGCTCTAACAAAAATCCAAAAGTATAATACAAAATGCTATTAACTACTTACAGTATATTGTACACAACAAATATTTAACAACTAATTTAAATAATGACTTTTAATGCAATTACCTATTTCACGTATTGCTATTTTAATTAATTACAAGTGTTACTGTAGGAATTTTTAGGCAACGTTAGTAAATGACACAAAATGATCGCCAAACAAACTTGTTAAAAATATTTTTACCTAGATAGGGATCTTTCTATATACAGAGTGCCTAATTTATCGTTGCTCCCCATTGATATCTCGCTTATCCTCAGATATAGAAGATAGCTTAAATGGTAGCAAAATTGCCACATTTTCATTTGCAATAATGTTCCAAAGAACTGAATTATCTGCTCTGGGTTTCCAGGGAAAATGAAATGATGTTTATTTCTTCTCTCCTATCTTGCTAATTACAAACATACCTAATCTCAACAAAAAAGTTATTTATTATGGACACATAGTTTTTTATCTCCATCAGAAGATACTGATGTTACTGGTAGTCGCGTTGTTAGTTTTATTTTTAGCCTATTTTCGTAGGTAGATACGATGTGTGGCAAACGGATCTGTAACAGCGCGGCTGGGGAATGCAATTGACACAAAAATTGTCAAAGATAAAAATCCCGTCGCTGGATCTTTCAATCTCTATTCCCAGAGCAACAAAAAGCAATTGCGTGTCCGATTTCCGCATAAAAGAAACGTGCGAGGATCTCCGCCAATTCGGCTAGTTCAAGATGCGCTTGGACATGCCTTTCACGTGGTGTTGCGGGTTCACTGAAGTCGATAAATCTTGGGAAAAAGTGCCTATTATAACATTAGTACTAAAAAACAGTTATTAATAAAATAAAAGTAACAACACGTTAAAATACTCTTTAAAATACGCTTTTTCATTGTCAATATTGTGATTATAAAAAATCGATTTTCAAATGAACAACTTTATTCCGAGTACAATTGCCTTTTTTGTTAAACGTGGCAATATGAAATTTTCGTCGAATTCCTTGGCTGTTACAGCCGTTTACCACACTATATTTTATGTGTAGAAAATTTCATAATCGTACCGCTAATTTCAGAACAAAAAATACTTCTTCTTTTGATAGGAAGAAACATATGGAGTCCATAACAAACAACGATGTTGATGATGACTCTAACATCGAAACTCGTCCAATCTATTTTTTCAGAAAACAGTAAGAAGGATCATAAACAGTTGCTTTGAGTTTTTTTACAGAATTAAGATTGGATTTGAAATAAGCAAGACATCGACGAAAAATCAGATAATGTTCTGTTTCCTTGAAAATTATTGTTACCTAAGCAAAATAAGCCACTTTCTCATTTTAAGATACCTTCTTTCTCTGAGAATAGGCGAGATAGCAATAGTGGGCCACGAAAATCTGGAACCCTGTATTTTTTTGGTATTTCACCCTATCCTGTCTATTTTTAGTCGGAAATTTATAAAGCTTTATACTGGAAATATTTGGTAGGTAATCTAAATGACTGTTATTAAAAACTTTTAAAATGAAGGTAGTATACCTTAAAATCGTGTCATGTCAGTTCGTATGGACTATGGAGTATATTTATGTAAGTATTTCATATATTGCTGTAATAACCAAGTTTCGGTATAATATAATTTAGCAATACACGAAAGGAAGTCTGTAGCTCATTGGTAAAGGCGCCGGCCTTACAAGCAGAAATTGCAGGTTCAAGTCCTGACAGGACCTTTTTACCGAGTCAAATTTCTTCAAGGATTGGAGTAGTTAATAGCTACAAATCTCCCTCACGTAAAAATAGAGGCATTAAAAATTCCTTATTTCCGGCTTTCTAAAAACTGACACAATACGAATAGAACAGAACATACTTCAACAAAATTATATGTTCCATTTTTTGAAACAACTTTGTCATGGATCATTTTGTAGAGTAATAAAATATTAAATAACATGATCAAGACACGGATGAAGACTGCAAAGTTATCAGTATAAGTTATTTTAGTATATTTATCACAGATCGATAGGTAAACAATAACTATATAAAATCTATTTTATCTAGTAAATATTTTCTCGGATGTTTTTTTAATTACAAGAAAATATAGTTATGTTATCTATCAATCGTAAAGGCTAAATCTCGTCTTCACTTCTCTGAAAACGACTCTTACTAAAAAACAATTAAATAAGTTAAGTGATTTCATAAACCTTTAAAGTTCTGTACATAAGTACCTAACAAAACGGATGTAATTTAAATAATTAAATATAACTATTTAGCATCAAATAGGATTTCAGTTGAATACAATTATAAGTAAATACAATATGTAATTTGTTTTGTACATACGTTTGTATTAAAGAAATTGTTGATTTGACCTTAAGCATATTGTGAAAATCCTTTTAGTAAATATTCTAAATTGTAATTATTATTTTGTTCAAGGATTGAGAAAGTTTTTAATAAATATAGGAAATGTACTGGGTGTCTCTTCGAGATCTTTCACCGCTGCTATCTTCCTTATTTTAGAGACAAAAAAGAATTTTATGTCCAAGTTGTGTGTAAGGATTTAATAAAAGTTGTCCTTAATTTGCAATTACTTATACTGTTGAAGAATTATTGATAAATATTTCACTTGAACTTGAATATTTCACAAGAAAAATAATTAGATAACAGGACAAAATTTTTATCGTTTTTAAATTAATTCGTTTTTAATATACGTGATGATAATATACATGCATTTAAATTACAGCAATCAAATTAAATTTTCTTGCCGAACACTGCATTTATTATTACAGGGTGTTTCATTAAAAATGTTAAGTTATATTTAAATCACGATAATGTTGGGGTCCAATCAATTAATTTTATGATTAGGTACCTACATATTTGAAAACTTCTGACAATTATCTCCAAGATAAGGGAGATATAAGGGGTGATAATATTTAGGATGGACATCCGATACCTTAAAATTCAACAAACACGCTTCAAAAAAAGTAAAACCTTAGATACTGTTTGGATAAGTATAGCAGGTACTGGTTTTTTAAGAAAATTCTAGTCGTCACTTACCTATTTTATTCTGCAGGTCATGTTTAATTTTTTGTGGTATAGTTAAAAAAACTATTAATGCTGTTTTGATAATAAAAAATTGACAGAAGCAATGCTCTACCTTTATCCATTTATGATACTTGAAATATCGTATAACATTAAAATTAATTATTTCTGTGAGAAAGTTAACGGGATTTGATATTGACAAGTTGGTAACTATAACACAAGCCTACTTATCAAATTTACATTTTTTACTGCCATGAAAATTACAGAATTAAATTTTATGTACCTCATAGGTAATACCTTTTTCCCTTCGTGTTGGGCTTATTGATTGAAATAACTGCAAATTTTAACAATTCATTTCGCCACGGTCCTTTTGATATTGTTCTTCACCCAAGCAATAAAATTGATTGCATTTCATCTCATCCCCTGAGATAATTTAGTCTTATTGGGTAGGTACTGAATAAGCCGATAATAAATTGCAAATGTTTTAACCTCGGTTTTAACTGAAAATTATTGCAATTCTACGATCAGTTCGTGCAAATTAAAGTGATTGTATTTTGTATTATAACAGCCAAACTTAATCTATTACCACAGAATACGACACGAAGCTCTTCTTATATTAAATAAATATTTCGTAGTAACGCATTAGAATAGTAATTAATAGATCATAACTTTTTCTGTGCTATTACTGAAATTTGAACGATATTTTTATTGGTTATATCTTCTTTTATTACAGCATTGCCATATATGTTTTTCTTAATTTTTCTCTTAATTACTAATTACCATGTATCATCATCCGTTAAATTTCACTACACTCTACCAAGTCTTAATATTTTTTATCACGCATATATTTGTTCATTATAAGCATCGCTTATATTAGGTACTGTAAAGTAGAGGATTCCTTCAAAAACACGACAAAACGCTTTGCTACGTTGCTTTAACATTACTTCCATTAGAGAATACAAGTCTACGGACCAAAATAGGTAACCAACATTTTCTTAAACCAGCATATACAGTTCGACTAACAAATATTTAGCCGAAATTCCAAAAAGAAAGGACCTAAAAAAAAAAACCCCCCCGGGGGGGGGGGGGGAGGGGGGGCCCACCCCCCCCCCCCCCCCCGGGGGGGGCACCCCCCCCCCCCATAACCCCCCTTTCCCCCCTCCCCCCCCCCCCCCCTTTTTTTTTTTTTTTTTTTCCCCTCTTCTTCCCCCTTTTTTTTTTTTTTTTTTTTTTTTTTTTTTTTTTTATACGTAAATAGTAAATTGTCAAAAAAATTATATAGAAAGACAAATACGGTCTCCACTAACAAAAAATTAATTATTGTAGGTTATTTATTTATGTTCATTCATCTACTGAATTGGAAAATACATTTAAGTGGATGTTATTAAATTTTTTATAGGTATTTACTAAAAACTTAAGAAGTTATACATGCAGCTTTAGGACCTCCTGGAATTTCAATTTACAAAAAAAAAACTATTAAAGTTCTAAATAGTAATTCTAACATTATTTGATATGACGTGATATTTACATGTTGCAAAGAGCAGTCTCTTTTTCAGTTCCAAACTTTCATGTCTTTATTGGACCATCATTGCAGAAGGTACTGCATACATTATTACATGCCACTCAGTAACTAGAAGTATAAAATTTTGTTTTTACTAGATCTAAGAGTCTAATGTAACTACGATATTTACCTAACAATTTTTTATCAGCAATAATATTGATTGTATTTTAAAAGGTAGGTAAGTAGTAAATAATGTCAAATCTTCATCCGTGCCTGAATTTTAACATGAAACACAACAAGTGTTGAAGTGACCACTCCTAAACTGATTTTAAAGGCTTGTTTTCTGATTCTTGGCTAATTCACAGGCCAACAAGGATTTTGTGAGGGATTTTTTGTATTTCTCTCCTACCCATCGACTCCCAAATACCTAAAAAGGTATGTTTGTTTTTGTCACATACGATCGTGGTGCTGTTACTAAGTACTGCGGAGTAAGCAGCGAACTGAACAAGAAGGTCAAATAACTACCAATTAATTCAAGCTACGCTGAAGATGATCCCTTTATTAGATGGCACCTTTTAAACAGGCGTCTAGCAAAAATCGTCCGCCTTTCTACTTGTGCTCAAAAAAAATGACGCAATATTTTTGTTTCACAATTTTAAAATTAATTCAATGAATCCCTGAATCGAAATTACAAAAAATATACCACTAAAATTTTAGTTACCTAGCTCCTATAAATACAAAAAAAATTGTAAATTACACAGATAGTTTTGATGTTTTAAAAAAATTGCTGAAGGAAGTTTTTGTAATGTTTTATTTTTCAGGTATAACGAAATTCAAACAAAATTCCCAAATAAATAATTAGCTTATAATTATATGATTTAACGTTTTGGGGTAGATCACTTCAACTATTTGGTATAAAATAAGCAATAATAGCAATAAATTAGACTATTGAAATATTTCTATAACAAAAGGTTTGTAATTGTCCCAATTGTCTATGTGCATACAGTTAAATTGTTAAATGAAACATTAGTGCACATAGGGGCAATTCCGTCAAAATTTTAAGCATGTTCATCAGCTTTGACATTCTATTGTCCATTTTTTAGGACATTATCGCGACCATAGTAAACAAAATTGTCACGGTTTACAAATTCTGCTGCTCCAAATCATTTTATTGCATTTTTGCATTTTGTCCTACTTATTAGGATATTATTTTATCCTTTATTAAGTATACGTTAAAAAGATGAGTTTTGACACAGGTGTTAAAATTTGTGCGACGTGTTAAATTTAACATGTGAAGTTACAGAATTGCCCCTTAACAGTTAAAGTACATACCTATACGTTTTAACGATTTACAACTTGCGTCTAACTGAAAATGGAAATTTAAATGAATAGATTCGCCTCTAAAAATCACTGCATGACGTTATGAAATGCAACTAGTATCAAGCATCCATAAAATATTGGTTTATGTTAACGGTAACTGCTAAAGGAAAATATTCTATTGTCTGACAGTTCAATCCCTGAAAAGGGGATACCGTAATTTGCACTTTAGAATTTACATATTTTATCAATTTCAGCAAATTGTGTGTAATAAGACGATAGTTATTAGTCGAAGAGTTAATTAATATTATTAGTCACCTTTTATTTTAACAAAATATTGTATGCAACAATGAGCATAATAATTTCTGATTATTACTTACATTAAATTATTTAATTTTAAATTCAAGACAGGTAAAGGGTATCTCGATTTTAACATTCGAGAGGGAATGAAGATATCACTTTCTTTTAACAGTCATTTTGCGACCGATATTCGTCCAAAAATTACGTCACGATAATGGCTCGGAGTCACATTCTAACAACAAATTCACTTACACGTACCACTCTTTTATATCTTTACTGTCGCGCTTTTTCGATTTCTGCATCATATTATTTTTATCACCATTTCGCAGAGCGCCATTGAGCTGGTACTGCGTCTGTCCATTGGTGTTTATGTTTCCTAAAAGGGCGGCATTGGGGCCTTGCTGGAACCCTTTGCCGTCGTCGACCTTGAAGCTCCTGTCATCCCTGGACTTAAACTTAAGTATAACGAGAATAATTAGTACGACAGCTATTAGGGCCCCGGCGATGATGCCGATGATTAGCGCCACGGTTTCAGACGTTTCGGAGCTTACGCGCTCGGGGGGTTTCGAGGGAGGTGCG